CGGGACTCGATCCCAGGACCCTGGGATCATGACCTGAGCCGAAGGCAGACACTTAACCATCTGAGCCACCCAGGCGCCCCAAAACTCCAGCTTTTTAAGCTCAGTCTCCGCTTGGCTGGGGAGCGAAGAAGGATCCAGCGTTAAGTAGAAAGGGAGGGCGGGGCTACGGGAAAGATGGGGCGGGGCTTCGGTGGACGCTGCGAAGGGCGGGTCTGTTGGAGCGTCCAGTGAAGGGGCGAGCCCGTAACGGCTTTCTATTGGGTTGCTCGTCTCGTTTTGCGCATGTGCAGACCGTTTCAAACCCCGGAGTTTGCCTGGCGCAGTGCTTGTGAAGGGCTGAGCCAATGGGTGAGGACCGTCGATAGCGCGCTTACTGGCTCGCAGTCTCTCGATTTTGCCGCCTCCCACCCCAGGAGAGCTCCTGGGGCGCAGTCTAACCGCTCCTCCCGCGACTCTTGTCAGTGCCAGGCTTCTTCGAGTCACGGCCCGCGAGGACTTCCGTGCCAGACTCCGGGGGCCGGGTCGGAACATGGCTGCGTCGGGTCTGGTAAGTGCAGGCTCTTGCCGCTTATGGCGAACAGGAGCTCGGCCGCCCCTGACACCGGCGCTCGGGGCAGGGGAGAATGTAAATGTTTAGTTGGTGCTGTGGCTTCTTGGAGGTTTCAGTGGGGAAAGCCCGCGAAGTTTTTGAGATCAACGCTGATCGTATGCCGATAGCCAGAGTTAATTTCCGTGTATTGTTTCCTCAAGGTTTCTTTTAATTTTGTTTGTGATGGCATCTTTCTCTTCAGAGAATCTTGTGATTTCTACTTTTTTTGGCCTAACTCTACTTCTTAGTCCTCCAAATAATTTCCTGTCCATAGAAGTATTGGGACGCCTTAAAAGTGTGGACTTGATGGTCTGGAGAAGCAGATTATTTGTAGATAGGTATCTGTTATTGATAAAGTTTTCTGAAAGGCAGTTAAAAGGTGCTTAAGGTGGGAATGACTAAAGGGGGCGGGCACTCATTTTTTGTTTCCGTTTCTGGGCTCTCTTGGTATTCATTATTCTGTATTTCACACTTTGCTTATGGTTACAGTATATTATACAACCCATATCAGCCCCTTCCTAGTGTATTTTCTACTTTATGTCTCCCCTTTTAAGAAAATCTTCATCAGTGATCTTCCACTTATGTAAAGTTATAAATGTATGCTTGTATGCATGAAGATGTATAAAAGGATGCTATAGAGCGTACTTTTTACTATGAGCACATACATTGTTTACATTACGTAGAATTTAAAAAAAAGGGAATAAAGCCATTCTCATTGGAGGAAAAGGAAGGGAATAAATTTACCAAATGCCCACGGTTCCTTTTTTAAAAGAGTTTATTTATTTATTAAAGATTTTATTTATTTATTTGACAGAGAGAGACACAGTGAAAGAGGGAACACAAGCAGGGGGAGTGGGAGAGGGAGAAGCAGGCTCCCCGCTGAGCAAGGAGCCTGACCTGGGGCTCAATCCCAGGACCCTGAGATCATGATCTGAGCCGAAGTCAGACGCTTAACCAACTGAGTCACCCAGGTGCCCCAAGAGTTTATTTTTTTAGAGCAGTCTTAGGTTCTTAGCAAAACTAAGCAGGAAGGTACAGAGATTTTTCCATACCCCCTAACCCCCACACATGCTTAGCCACCCCTATTATCAGTATCCCCCACCATAGTGGTACATTTATTACAATTGATGAACCTACATCGACACATCATGGACTGGCCAAAGTCCATAATGTACAATAGGGTTCACTCCTGGTGTACATTCTGTGGGTTTGGACAAAAATCTAAAGACACATATCCATTATTATGGTATCATATAGAGAGTATTTTCACTGCCCTGTATATCCTTTGTGTTCTGCCTGTTTACCCCTTCCTCCCCACACAGCTCTGGTAACCACTCGTCTTTTTACCATCTTCATAGTTTTACCTTTTCCAGAATGTCATGTAGTTGGAATAATACATACATAGCCTTTTCAGATTGACTTTCATTTGGTATTACACATTTAAGGTTTCTTCATATCTTTTCATGGCTTGATAGTTCATTTCTTTTTAGTGCTGAATAATATTCCATTGTCTGGATGTACCCCAGTTTATCCATTCACCTAATTGACATCTGGTTGCTTTCAAGTTTTGGCAATTATAAATAAAGTTGCAATAAACATCTGTATGCATATTGTTGTGTGGACAGCTGTTGTGTGGACAACTCCCTTGGGTAAATACCAAGCAGTACGATTGCTAAGTCATGGTAAGAGTCTGTTTAGTTTTGTAAAAACCACCAAACTCTTCCAAAGTGGCTGTACTATTTTGCATTCAAAAATAAATGAGAGTTGGGCGCCTGGGCAGCTCAGTTGGTTAAGCGACTGCCTTCGGCTCAGGTCATGATCCTGGAGTCCTGGGATCGAGTCCTGCATCGGGCTCCCTGCTCAGAAGGGAGTCTGCTTCTCCCTCTGACCCTCCTCCCTCTCATGCTCTCTCACTCTATCTCATTCTCTCTCTCAAATAAATAAATAAAAATCTTTAAAAAAAATAAATGAGAGTTTCTTTTGTGCCATATCCTTACCAGCATTTGGAGTTGTCGGTGTACCAGATTTTCGTTATTCTAATAGGTATAGTGGTATCTCATTGTTTTAATGTGCTTTTCCCTGATGACATATGATGTAAAGCATCTTTTCATATGCTTATTTACCATCTGTACATCTTCTTACTTGAGCTATAAGGTCTTTGGCCCATTTATTTTTTAATTTGGTTGTTTGTTTTCTTATTGTTGAGTTTTAAGCATTGTTCCTATATTTTGGGTAATAGTCCTTACCAGATGTGTCTTTTACAAATATTTTCTTCCAGCCTGTTGCTTGTCCTCTCATTCTCCTTTTTAATTTTTTTTTTAAACCATGATCAGTGTTTTATTTGGATAAATGTTGGCATGGATTTAAAATCTGTGATTGATAATAATAGCATCAATGATATTAATAAACAGTTTATTTTCTCATTGTGATCTCTGCCTTTCTTTTATGAATTTCTTCATAAAAATGTCAGATGCATGAGTGGGGTAAAGAGAGTGTTTATGTGTGGTGGGGTCATTTATATCCCAATGGGCCAAGTAAAAGTGAAGCTCAATAAATATTTGGTATTGATAATAGTTTTTAAAGCATGCTGTTCATCCTATGACTACCCAATTTTCAACTAGAATTGATTTTACAATAAAAAGATAGTACCCTAAGTATCTCAGATATGCTCTCAACTTCCAAAATCAGCATGTCTCTGTGTTTTATTTTTCCTGTTGTTCCCAGTGATGGGGCTGCTTCCTGGTTGGAGTTAATGATTTTTTTCTTTCTGGAAGCATTCTAGTATTTTTTATTCTCAATTTTTCATAAATTTCACTATTACGTCTGAGGTATGGATTCTCTTAAATTCATCATGCTGGCTATTTATGCCCTACACATTTAGGGAATTTGATTGTGTATTTTCTTAGAGTTATCTCTTTTTCTTTGTTCTTTCTGGAATAGCAATTTGTCAGAAGTTGGACCTCCTGATTTTTAGATCTTCTTTGTTTTATTCTTTCTCCCATTTTCTACTTCCTCTTCATTTTTTGTCTTTTTTTTCCCCTCCCAGAAATATCCTTAGCTTTTTCATAATTATTGCATTTTTTACTTTAGGCAATGATATTTTTAATTATTAAGAATTTTTCTTGGTCTCAGTGCTCATAGTATACCACTTTTGTTTTATGAGTCCAGTATTTCAAATCTCTCTTGAAGGTACTAATTAGAGTTTTGTTTTTTGTTTTTATGTTTTCTTTCTCTCTCCCCCCCCTTTTTTTTTAATAGAAGCCTAATTGAGGGGTGCCTGGGTGGCTCAGTCAATTAAGCATCTGCCATCTGCTCAGGTCATGATCCCAGGGTCCTGGGATCTAGGCCCCACATTGGGCTCCCTGCTCAGTGGGGAGCCTACTTCTCCCTCTTCCTCTGCCCCTCCCACCTGCTCATGCTGTCTCTCTCACTCTCTCAAATCAATCAATCAATCATTATAGGGATGCCTGGGTGACTCATTTGGTTAAGCCTCTGCCTTGGGCTCAAGTCATGATCCCAGGGTCCTGGGATGGAGTCCCTCATTGGGCTCCTTGCTCAGCAGGGAACCTGCTTCTCCCTCTGCCTGCCTCTCCCCCTGCTTGTGCTGTGTCTCCTTCTCTCTCTCTGACAAATAAACAAATAAAATCTTAAAAAAAAAAAAAAATAGAAGCCTAGTTGACACTCAATGTTACATTACTTTCAAATGTACAACATAATAATTCGACAGGTTTATATGTTGGGTTATGCTCTTCTTTCTCATTCTTGGTTTCAGTTTTGGGCCTTTTTCTTTTCCATATTTAAAATTTATATCTTTTTTTATTATTATGTTAATCACAATGCATTACATCATGAGTTCTTGATTTTCCTGTTTTGCTTAGAGACTTAAATGTCTGGTGATCCATAAATGCTAGTGATATTTAAGACTGAGACAATAGAATACAATTTTTTTAGCTCTGTGTTTTTTTTTTTTTTTTAATTTAAATTCAATTAGCCAGTTAGCTCTGTGTTTATGGGGTAGGGGATGTGGGGGTCTGTTATTCTGTTCATTCCCTTTCTCAGTCTTTCCTCCTTCGTATTTCGAGTTTTCCTAGTTCGGCATTGTTACAGCTTTTTCCTGGGTAGATCAGCTTTACTCCTCATCAGAAACTGGATCCTCCGAGCTTACTTTTGGCTCCTACTGCTTTTATTCTGTTTCATCAATTAACATACTCCATTTGTTTTCCATCTTCTAGAAATTTGTTAAATTTGTTTGTTAATAGATGGTCCTCTCTTCCATTCTCTTTTACATTGTTGTTTTATGTCGTTTTAATGCTTAACTATTATTTTACAGGGATCTGCCTGCAAGGAAAGGAGATAAGTAGATATTGCTAGTCAACCAATTTGAATTATTAGAAGCACAGATAGTTGGAATTTTGATGATGGAAAAGGTATGGGGGCAGGTGGAAGAAAAAGAGAAAGATGGAATAAATTCCAGGATGAGCAAATAGTATAAGCAAAGATTTTGAAACAGTAGGTATGAGGCAAGTTCTCTTTCACTTGATCCAGTGAATTCCTCTTTATAGTACTATAATGGGCAATTAGCAAAACTTGCTGAATGAATAAATGAAGAGCTTAAGTTTTCACCAGTTGGGTGATTTACTTTTCTTTTAGGATCATCTCAAAAATGACTACAGAAGAAGATTTTGCCGACCTGTCAGGTGAGTTATATATTGGCTTTTAAGGCCATTTTTATGTCTGTCTTCAGAAAGTGATTTTTAAATGAAGAAGGGAAAAATTACTTCTAACATAATGATTTCTGTGCCCACTGATTAGGTATAGTCTACTTAGTAATTTTATATTTACAGAAATATTAATGCAAGCAGAGTAGTGACTTAGCACCAGTGAGAGAAGAAATTCAGCTGATAAATTATGGATCAGAAAGAGGCAGTCTTAGTTCTAACTAAATGACAGCCATGGGGAAAGCACTCTATAGAGTGGATTGAATGGTAATATTACAAAGATGCAGCTTATTTGGTGGGGCTAAAAGAAAATGTGGGTGTAGGTTATAAAAAGACAATAGAGGATCTTTGTAGTGTGGACTGTTCAGTATCTTGACTGTGGTGATAATATGTGAACCTGCAGATGTGATAAATTGCACAGAACTAAGTATGAACATAAATGCACAAACGAGTACTGTTGACCCTTGAACAACTCAGGGGTTAGGGTTGCTGACCCCCATACAGTTGAAAATCTTCACATAATTTTGATACCCTAAAATCTTCTACTAACAGCCTACTGTTGCCTGGAAACCTTACCAATAACGTAAATAGTCAGCACATACTTTGTATACTGTATATTATATATTGTATTCTACAATAAAATAAGCTACAGAATAGAAAATGTTATTAAGAAAATCATAAGGAAGAGAAAACACATTTACAGAACTGTACTGTATTGATAACAGTAAGTTTTTGTTATCTGTTTACAAGAGGAATCGTCTGTTATTACCTGCTAATATAGTCTTATATGATACAAAACACTGTAGATGTTATATATATTACTAGCACTAGACATCAGACATGAAAAAATGATGTGAAAAGAAATTCATATTTATTTACAGGTATAACAGGTATTGATAAAGAAGTAGCAATATGATTACTTTATGGTAGCCTGGTGTGGTCAGTATGATTGTTTCATGGTAGCCTAGTCTATACATTAATGAATAGAATTGTTACAAAATTTTTACGGCATATTGTATTATAGTTATATCCATAATATAGTTTGGAAACATTGTTAAACTTTTATAAAACCACTTACCTGTGAGGAAAGACATACTGTATGGAAATACAATTCTTTGAAATGATGACGATGACATAAAAATGTCTCATACATTTCTTGCCATACAGTTACTAGATTTTCACATGAAGACACACAGATACACTGCAGTTTATTAATGGTACGGCATGCTGATTATTTACTGTTCATTAAGTGGGAGTGGATCATCATGAGGATCTTCATCCTCATTGTCTTCACATTGAGTAGGCTGAAGAAGAGGAGAAAGTTGAGGTGATCTTGTTTCAGGTGTGGCAGAGACAGAAGAGGTGGAGGAGGTAAAAGGGGAGGCAGGAGAGGCAGGCATACTTGGTGTAACTTTATGCAATTATATCATAATTTTTGTCTGACTTTTGCTTTTTCATTTCTCTAAACTTGGTTTTATATTCTGCTGTTTACCTTAGTTTCATTGTATGCCTGTATCATAGAAGGTCCATGTCATAAAAGAGGTCAAAAGCAGTCCTGAGTAATTGGAAACCTCTATCAGATTGTCTAATGTCAATTTGCTTTCTGGTAGTGCTTCTACATCTTCTTCCACATCATCTGGTATTGTTTTAGAAGCATTCATCTCCATACAGTCATCTTCTGTTAATTCCTCTGGTGTGATGTCTATTAGCTCTTCAATTTCTCCAAGATCCTAATTTTGAAACCCTTCACCCCCCACCTTTTTTGCCATATCCACAATCTCTTTCATGATTTTTCTTGATTGGCTCTGTCATAAATCCTGTGAAGTCATGTATAACATCTGTACACAGTTTTCTCCAGCAGGAATTATTGCTTTGAGCTTGATGGTTTTCATAGCTTTTTCTATAACAATAATGGTATCTTCAATGCTGTTGTTGTCTCTGTTCCATATTCCATAGCCTTGGCAGTCCTTTCCCTAGAGAACCATGTGTAACAAGTCTTAAAGGTCCTTATGACCCCCTAATCTAGAGGCTGAATTTGAGAAGTGTGTTGGGGGCAAATATACCATTTTGACTCCTTCAGTGTTGAACTCCTGGGGTTTTGGGTGGCCAGTGGCATTGTTCAATATCAGAAGAACTTTAAAAGACAGACCCTTACTGGCAGGGTACTTCCTGACTTCAGGGACAAAGCATTGATAGAACCAGTCCAGAAGAAGGGTTCTCATTGCCCAGCTTTCTTGGTATAGTACAACCCAAAATCTGGCAGCTGGTGTTTATCTTTTTCCTTCAAAGCTGGGGTTTAGCAGCTTTGTAGATAAGTCAGTCCTGATTATAAAGCTGACTGCATTTGCACAAAATAGTAGAGTTAGCCGATCCTTTGCTTGCTTCTCTTCTTCAGTAATATATGTCCTTTATGACATTTAGGGAGAGAGAGAGAGAAGGCACGCATGTGTCTAAGCAAGGGGAGGGGCAGAGAGAGTGGGAGACAAGCAGACTCCTTGCTGTGAGGGAAGCTCGACGAGGGTTCGATCCCAGGATCCTGAGATCATGACCAAGGGTCGGACTCTAAACTGACTGAGCTACCCAGGTGCCCTCTTTTATTTTGAGAGAGAGAGAAATAGTATGCAAGCAGGAGGGAGGGAAGGGCAGAGGGAGGAGAGAGACTCTTAAGCAGCCTCCATACTCAGCATGGAGCCCGATGTGGGGCTTAATCTCATGACCCTGAGATCATGACCTGAGCTGAAATCAAAAGTTGGATGCCCAACCAACTGAGCCACCCAGGTGTCCCCTTAGTGATGATGATGATGATGGGGATGATGATGATTTTTTTTTTTTTGAGAGAGCGCACAAGTGGTGGGGGCAGTGGATGGGCAGAGGGAGAGGAAGCTAATCTTAGGCAGACTCTGCACTGAGTGGGGAGCTCAGTCTCATGACCATGAAATCATGACCTGAGCCACGGCATGTTGGAACTCATCTGCTGCCTCTTGTTCGACAGAAGGTTCTTCTCATGTTATCTTGACTTTTTTTTTTAAGCCAACTCTCTTTCTAAATGCCATCCTTTTCTGGAATTAAATTCTCCAGCTTTAGATCCTTCACCTTCCTTTTGCTTTAAGATGTCTTATAATAACTTTTCTTTTTCTCAAGCCATATTATAATCTATATTTATGCCTTTCTTTGAACAAGTCCTGCAATCCACATAAAAGCTGCATTTTCAGTACAAGATTAAAAGGTATTTTGCAAAATGGCAAGGTTTTGTACCTGCTCGCGCAGCTGCAAAGACAGCTTCACAAATTTCCTTTTCTTTTTTTGCAATAGTCCTTATGCTGCATTTATTTATCTTGCAATGGCAGGCAACCACAGCTGCAGACTTCAAGTAAATCAACTTTTTCTTGTAGTGTCATGACATCTCTGTTCCTTGGGAGCATTTCCAGCATCACTAGTGGTACCTTGTTGGGTCCCTTGGTGTTATTCAGGGTTTATGGTATTGCACTAAACATAATGAAAAATGGGAGAACTGTGAGAGATCACTTTTTACTGCAATCCACAAATTACTGGAGAAGTAATTGCCTCTGCTCACTCAGAGATGATTAATGTTAGATGGCATTTTAAGGGGATACTCAATAACACTTGGGCTCACCACAATAGCAACAGGAGTAGCTATAAAATTATTACAGTAGTATACCATGTACTACAGTTAATTTTATGCCATTATGATTTAAACTGCGTCTTTACATTTGTTCACATCTTTTGACTACAAATAACACCATGTATGTTCTGTATGTGTAAGTTTTGATAAATTTTAACTTCTAATAATAGGTTTGTGTGTATTTTATGGTAGTAAATGATAAAATACACTGGTATCTACATGTATTTTAATGCATTCATGACATACTTAACTTTTTGTTAATTTTTTTTATATTTCTAGGCTATGTGGTTTGTGAGTTTTTTCAAATTTTGCAAATCTCCAAAAAATTTTCCAGTATGTTTACTGAAAAAAATCTGTGTGTGAGTGGACCCATGCAGTTCAAACCCATATTGTTCAGGGGTCAACTGTATATGTAGAACTGGAGAAATCTGAATATGACTATTGGATTGTATTGATATCAGTATCCTGGTTGTGGTAGTATAGTATAGTATAGTTTTACAAAATGTTACAATTTGGGGGAACTAGATAAAGTGAACAAGGGATTTCCCCTATATTATTTCTTACAACTGCATGTGAAACAACAGTGAAAATTCTATACTGATTCATAAGCTGCTGTTAAGGTTAATAACATTAAATAAAAAATGCTTTTGAGAACATCAAGGGAAGACTGTTACTTGGAGCTGTTAGGACTTGTGACCATAGAGTTTTTGTTTTTATTAAAGAAGTGTTTTAGTACTGATTGGATTTCTCCAAAACCATTTATATTCTTGTTTAGATATAGCAGTAGTCTAAAATGGCTTCAGATGTGGCTCTTCATTCAAGGAATATAATTGTTAATGTAGATAACGACGTACTGCTTCAGATACTTTTCTTGAAACTCTTGGACTCTCAAGTACTTGTTTTGTCTTAGATAGTGAAGGTTATATTTTTCCCATTAAGTAAAATGAAATTTTATAATGAGATATGAAATTTTCAAAGTGGATGGTAACATAAATAGCAGATATCTTTTGGAAATGATATGTAACATTTTTCCTTCATTCCCTCTTATTAGAGTACCTGACATTAATACGAAGCAAGGCCAGAACATACTGGAAATCTTACAAGACTGTTTTGAAGAAAATAGTAAGGCATCTTCAAGATGGACTTTGATGGTTGGGTTGGATGAAAATATAAATTTGTCATATTAATTAATATTAAATTCAGCAAATGCATTCTAACATTTAAATATATGTAAAATATTTTCCCAGAAATGTTGAGTACATGTGCAGTCCTTTGTGTACTTCCTGTTACACTGAGGATAATAGTAGCAAAAATGAAAACAATTGTCATTTCCTTTAGTTCATACTAGATTCATACTAGATATAGTACTCTGGGAGTCCATAAATAATTATCATACACAAGAGAAAGTTATTTCATGTAGTGGGAATAAGTGCAGAATTCTTGGATCTCTAAGAGATAATGTTTGATGATTTGCAGTTCTTTCTACAGAAATGAATTATGGCATCACTTTTCAAAAGTGCTGGTCAGCATCAGAAGGTATTGAAATAAGAGAATAGGCCAACCAAAGAAACAAACACAGTGGAACAATATAAGCTCTGAAAAAAGAGCTAGTACATTATTTTTTCAGGAATGTTGTTTGCCTTTTTCAGTTCCTGATGCCTTCTAGGAATATTTGAATGTTGAAGTGATGTCTGTACTTAATTTTAAACTCATTGTTTTTAAAGAGTTGACAGACTTATTCACATTTCATTTAGGGCTTCTTTTAATTGTAACTAAAAGATTTTATATCGTATTTATTTAAAATTTTTTTTTTTGCTTTTTTTAAGGTCTTGCCAAGGACTTTAGCACAAATTCTACAAAATCATTGCTTTATTCAACACCTAAAATAGGAGACATTTGTATTCAGTCACCAAGGAAAGAGGTAAGTCAAAAAGAAGAGCTTTAATATTTTAATGAATGAAGCATTACACAATATAGTTATGTCTATTTTAGTTGTTTTTAAGTCTTATTCTTAAAAGAGTATCCTATATTCCCACTCACTTTCTTTATAATTTAGAGGTGTTTGGTGAAAATTTTGACTTGACGTTTCATGTGTTTGAAATCGGAGGTCTGGGTGTAGAATTATCAAATTACAACACAGTCATTTTTCACCCCTTCTAAATAATAGTTGAATTAGGTTTTTAGGAAAGTGGACAACTGCTGAAGTTCCTAATCCAGGTTGGCAAATCTGGTTATTTTCTGAAAACCAAAGTTGATTTATTGCTATAAGGACAATGAATCTTTTATAGGTTATATCTTAAGAGGATAGGCTGACCTAACTCTACAAAATAGCAAACTTTCAAATAGAGTTTGTGAAGCTAATGAATAAAGACAAGTTATTCAAAAGTACAATACAAATTGGAGAGAAAAATTATGTAGTGTAGAAATAACATTCATTAGAAACTTGTGTAAACACTTAATTATACAGTTGACTCTTGAACAACACAGAGGTTAGGGTTGCAGACCCACCCATGCAGTTGAAAATCCACTTATAACTTTTGACTCCCCAAACACTTACCTACTAATAGCCTACTCTTGACTAGAAGCCTTACTGATAACATAATCAGTTGATTAACACATACTTTGTATATGCATTATATATTGTATAGTTATAATAAAGTAAGTTAGAGGGGCGCCTGGATGGTGCAGTTGGTTAATCATCTGACTCTTGGTTTTGGCTCAGGTCGTGATCTTAGGGTCGTGAGCCCCACATCAGGCTCTGAACTTAGCACGGAGTCTGCTTGAGACTCTGTCCGAGAGGGACAGAGTTTACCCCTCTCCTACTCTTGCTCTCTAAAATAAATCTTACAAAAAAAAATAAAACTAGAGAAAAGAAAGTCTTAAGTTATAAGGAAGAGAAAATATATTTACGGTACTATGTTATATTTATTGCAAAAAATTGTGAGTAAGTGGACCCTCACAGTTCACACCCTTGTACAGGGGTCAGCTATATATAGCCTTTGGTTCCAAGGAATGAAAACAGATCCATTTCTTTCAGAATTGAGAGACCTTCTTTAATGTGGTAAATTATGTTACACTTTTTTTTGAAAGTTACATCAACTTTAAGTTTTCTGAGATAAACCACTATCTTGAATTTTCTGTTCATCATTCCCATCTTTTTTTTATAGTTGCATAATGGGTGTGTTGCTGACATTTGTGTCAGCACTTCCTCCCCTACCTCTCACAGAGGTCCCGCTATTATCCATATGTTGGGTGCTTCACTAGAAGGACTCATGAGACTCATCATACAGTTGTTCTTGTGACTGAGATTTATTATAGCCAGGTAGGATACACAGCCAGATTGGTAAAGGAAAAAGACACCTCAGGCAGAATCTGGAGGAATCCATGTCAGGCTTTCTATGTTCCCCGCAGAGTGTGCACTTGTTGCTTCCAGCAGTGAAATGTGTACGTCCTGTCTTTCTGCCCAGGGAAGCCTTCTGAGACTTAACCCATTTTTATTGTGGGCTGGTTACATAGGTACCCTTTGCTCACCACAATCCTATACTCCCTGAAGGAAAAAAAACAGGTGTTCACTATAAATCACATTTTTGTACAGTCTAGGCAGCTGGCATAGTAGGTACAACCTTATCAGCTGGTAATGGAGGAAACGTTCTGAAAGCCAGGTTCTAGGTGCCAGCCAAGGGCTAGCCCTGCTGTAAGCAAGTTCGTTTTTTTTTTTTTTAAAGATTTTATTTATTCATTTGAGACACAGAGATACAGAGAGAGAGAGAGCATGAACAGGGGGAGAGGCAGAGGGAGAGGCAGGCTTCCTGCTGAGCCAGGAGCCCGATGTGGGGCTCGATCCCAGGACCCTGGGATCATGACCTGAGCCGAAGGCAGACGCTTAACCATCTGAGCCACCCAGGCACCCCTGTAAGCAAGTTCTTTAAATGATCAGGCCTGCTATGTTAACTCCTCCATTGAGTTAATCCCTAATATATATATATATATGTATATAGTTTTACATGTATCCTCTTTGAACTTTATGTAAATGAGATTATGACATATTTCTGTGACTTGATTTTTTTTTTTTTGGTTAACAGTCATTTATTTCTGTTGCTGTAGTTTAGTCATTTCACTGTTGAATGTGTGATGTTGTTATAGGACTATACAATAATTTATCCAATTTACTGTCAGAATAGGTTTTTTGCTGTTCACAGTAGCATTGTTTCCGTGTTAGGTTATTTGAGATTTCAACTTACTAGGTAATGCCAAATTGTTTTCTAAAGTAGTTAACTTCAGTATACAACTTTACCAGCTGGTTTATTGTTTTATATACTTAGGTTTTTTTCCAATTTAAAACCAAATGTATTTAATCAGAATTACTAATTTTTAATAGGTCTAATGTTATATATCTTTTTAGGCTCAGTGCCAGAAATCTCATCCGAAGTCAGTTCCAGTTTCTTTAAGGAAGAAAGAGGCCTCTCTGCCGTTCATTGTAGAACCAAGTGAAGTTGTCAACAGATCAGGTTGGTGGCATCCCCATAGATGTTATTTGCTTAGACATAATTAAAAGGAGATGCTGAAGGTGTTGCATGTGTTGGCTTGAGTAACAAACTCACAGGTCAGCCTAGGCAGAGTGGTCAGTGTTTGTTTTTTTTTAAACATGAAAAATAAACTTTATTTGAATATTCATTTCTTTGTTTCAGTGGTAAGAACATTGATTATTAGGATATGGTAAGAGACATTAAGTAAGAATTATTACAGAGGCTATAGTTTTAAGAGTTTTCAAATAGATTTGTCTTTTTTTTTTTTTTTAAACAAATGATTAATATTATCTCACATAGTTTCTGTGGGTCAGGAATTGAGAAGCAGCTTAGATGGTTCTGGCTTGAAATCTCTCATGATGAGGTGGCGGTCAAGATGTTGGCCGGTGTTGCAGTCATCTGAAGGCTTGATGGGGGCTAAGAATATATTTCCCAAGATGACTCATGTGGGGCTGGATGCAAGCAGGAAGCCTTAATTCCTTCTCACATGGCCCTCTCCATGAGCTTCTTGAGCATTTTTTTTTTTTAAACTGAGGTATAAGTGACATGTAACTATGTTAGCTTCAAGTATACAACATGATTTCAATATTTGTATACACATGGTTAGTGTTCTTTTTCTCTCTTCTTTTGTTCATTTCCTTTAGTTATGTGCTGCAACTTTTAAAAGTTTATTGACATTTTTCAAATTAGAAAAGTCCTTCATTTGAAGTAAGCCTCAAAGATTTAAAAAAGTAAAGCTACTAATTGTTATTCCCATTGTCCTGCTGAGGTAACCTTTGAATGAAAACATATATAAATGTATGCATGCATGTGTGTGCATGCTTTCAGAAGAAGCTTTACAATTTTCATTTACACCAGCAGGGTAGGAAAGTATGTCTTACCTGATAGATCATTTGCTATTTTATTTATTTTTTTTGCCAGTTTGATCAGTATTATATGATCTCATTGTCACCTTAGTGTCTATATCTGTGATACCCACTGAGTTTGAGCACCTTTTTATATATTTATTGGCTATTTGAATTTCCTTTTTTCTGAGTTGTCTATTCATATCCTTTGTCCATTAGTTTTTTCTTGTTGATGAAAGGTCTTTGAACTGAGTATCTATAATTGTTGATCTGTAATTTGTGTGACAGATATTTTTCCAAATGATCCCTTGACTTTTACAGATTTTGTTTATAGTATCTTTAACCATATGATGAGTAAGATTTTTTATTTTCATTGTCAGATGTGTGACTTCATAGCTTTTTTTTTTTTTTAAAGATTTTATTTATTTATTTGATGGAGAGAGAGCGTGCAAGCAGGGGAAGCGACAGGCAGAGGGAGAGGGAGAAGCAGACTCCCTGAGGAGCAGGAGCCCAGTGCGGGGCTCGATCCCAGGACCCTGGGATCATGACATGAGCTGAAGGCAGTCGATTAACCAACTGAGGTGCCCCTGACGGACTTTTATAGTTTTTGACCTTGTTTTGGTTAAAAGGTCTATCTTATCCTAATGATAAATATAGAATCTTAGATTTTCATCTTTTTAAAAAAAGTTTTTATTTAAATTCCAGTTTGTTAACATACAATCTAATATTAATTTCAGGTGTACAATATAGTGATTCAACACTTCTATACAACACCTGGTGCTCATCACAGGTGCCTTCCTTAGTCCCCATCACCTATTTTACCCATCCCCCCACCCACTTCCCCTCTGGTAACCATCAGTTTGTTCCCTGTAGTTAAGAGTCTGTTCTTGGGGTGCCTGGGTGGCTCAGTCGTTAAGCGTCTGCCTTTGGCTCAGGTCATAATCCCAGGGTCCTGGGATTGAGCCCCTCATCGGGCTCCTTGCTCAGTGGGCAACCTGCTTCTCCCCTGCCTGCTGCTCCCCCTGCTTGTGCTTGCTCTCTCCCTCTCTGTATCAAATAAATAAATAAAATCTTAAAAAAAAGTCTGTTTCTTGGTTTTCCTCTTTCCCCTGCACCCCCCATATGTTCATTTGTTTCTTAAATTTCACACATGAGTGAAATCATATGGTATTTGTCTTTCTCCGACTGATTTATTTCACTTAGTATTATACTTTCTGGATCCATCCATTACTACATTTTGTTTTATTCATTTATGCATTGATGGATATTTGGGTGGTTTCCACTTTTTGTCTGTAGTGAATAATGCTGCTGTGAATGAGAGCATACAAATATCTTTGCAGTCTCTGCTTTCAGTTCTTTTGGGTACATACCCAAGAAAGGAATTACTGGATCACATGGCAATTGTATTTTTAATTTTTTGAGTAATCACTAAACTGTTTTTGTAGTGGCTGCGTCATTTTACATTCTCATCAGCAGTGCGTAAGAGTTCTAATTACTCCACGTCTTCACCAACACTTGTTATTTTCTGTGCATGTGTGTGTGTTTTGTGATAATAGCCATCCTGTGGGTGTGAGGTAGTATCTCATTGTGGGTTTGATTTGTTCATCATTGTCATTAGGGATTTTTTGAGTCATTAGGGAATTTTAAATTAAAATAATAATTAGTTACCACTGCACACCCAAAACAATGGCTAAAATCTAAAAAACTGGTTCTCCTTTGTAACTCAGGAGAAACAAATAAAAATCAATTTATAATTGATTGTTAAAACATTTTATGAAGGATGCTTTAAAATTCTTATTAAATAACTTCAACATTTGATTCATCTTGTCTGTTTGTGTCCATTGATCATAATGTTTTTGTTCAGGTTGTGTTTTTCTGGCTTTTGGTATAATCAGTCATTTTGATTGTATTCTTGACATTTTGGTTATTATTTTAGGAGACTCTTGATTGTATTTAAATTGTTATAGCGTATAGTTGCCTTGTTTTGGCTTAATGTATAGGTTCTTGCTTACTTTTGTGGATTTTATTTCCAGTGACAGTTAATTGTTTAGAGTCCTAGCACTGGTATTTTGGTCTGTTTCATTTCCTGATGCTGCTGAGATTCCTCTTCAGTTCTTGCTGGTGCTGTGTCAGATGAATGGAAGGTGCTTTCCTGAGTACCTCATGTCCTCATTCACTCAAATGGGGGTTGGAGTCAGAACCCGTTGGGATTGGATCTTCTTAAATGACTGGGTGGAGGACAGGATGGGGGATGTAGCGTTCTTTTATGTTCTTCCTGCCTTGGATTAGACTGCCTTTTGGGGCCCTCATTGTGAAGTAAGGCCTGGGTTGTTGATACTAACAGTGATTCAGACTGTCACCTTGGTCTGTGAAGCAGTGGCTGGGAAGGGCAAAGACTTCACTGCTTTGCAGCTGTTTGTGGAGCATACGGCCTGCTGTCTTTGACTTGAAGTGGGGACTGGGTTGGTCCAGGGACAAGGTTAGTTCAGGACTTCGCTCCTCTGCTACTGCTGTCCCATAGAAATTATGGGGTAGGGCCTGGCATGGCCCAAGGCTTTGCTGCTCTTACAAGGCCACTGCAGAATGGAGTATTGAGTGGCCCAGGTTGTGGAATGGGAGTTGGGGTTCCCCACTAGGTCTCTGTTGTGTTTGCCTTCTCCAAGTCTTTTTTTTAATATTTTATTTATTTATCTGACAGAGAGACAGCGAGAGAGGGAACACAAGCAGAGGGAGTGGGAGAGGGAGAGGGAGAGGGAGAGGGAGAAGCAGGCTTCCTGCTGAGCAGGGAGCCCGATGCGGGGCTCGATCCCAGGACCCTGGGATCATGACCTGAGCCGAAGGCAGACGCTTAACGACTGAGCCACCCAGGCATCCCTGCCTTCTCCAAGTCTTTTGGCCAGAGAATGCAGGGTGTTTTTACCCCCATGCCTATTTGTGGTTCTGGGTTACACGCTTCTCTAGAAACCAGTCTGGGGATACGTGGGAAGTAAAGGGAAAACACAGAGGATTCACCATATTCTCTTTTGTTGCTTAAGACTTGAGGTTCCTAGCAAATATACCTCTTTCCTTCTAGCTTTTAGAGTTCTGTTATTGTTGTTTGATGGATAATTACCAGGAATTTAGTGTAGTTATATTTAGAGGGAAAAGCAGAGAAAACTGAGTATACTGTCTTGTTCTATAACCTTCCAAAAGCCCCTTTATGATTGTATTTAAAATTTTTAAATCTTTGCTTTTTTTTTTTTAAAGATTTTTTTTTTATTGGAGAGAGGGAGAGTGTGTGGGGGGTGGGGGGAGAGGGGCAGAGGGACAGGGAGAGGGAGAGAGAAACCCAAGCAGACTCTGTGCTATGTGTGGAGCCCAACGTAGGGCTCTATCTCACCACCCTAAAATCATGACCTGAGCTGAAATCAAGAGTCGGACGCTTAACCGACTGAGCCACCCAGGTGCCCCTAATCTTTGCTTTTTAAGAGTATGAATCAATATGAATACTCCCCAACAGTTCTACTTTTTCTTTGACATTTGAAGGTATAAGGCTAAGAGAATATGTATATTCTTTATATACATGTATATAAAGGTACATGTATATATGTATATAAGCTTTTATATATAAAGTATATTTTTATATGTATACCTTTACATATATATATGCACATACAAATCTTTTATGTATCTCTATACATATCTGTTATGTCTCTCTGTGTGTATGTGTGTGTATAAATATGTGGTCTAGCCGCCTTAGTTTACTGACTCTTTTTTTTTTTTTTAAAGATTTTATTTATTTGAGAGAGAGAGAGCACATGAGAGGGGGGAGGGTCAGAGGGAGAAGCAGACTCCCCGGGACTCCAGGATCATGTCCTGAGCTGAAGGCAGTCGCTTAACCAACTGAGCCACCCAGGTGCCCCTAGTTTACTGACTCTTAACCTAAAGATCGAATCTCATAATTTCTCTAACACTACTTCATTATTTTAGCTGTGTATAGATTTATTCAAACCTTGGGTAAATTGACTATCCATAGAATTGTGAATTTTCTGTTTGAAAATTTTTATCACTTCAAAACTTAAGAGCATGGAACAAATACATATTTTTTTAAAGGTTTTTTTTTTTTTAAGATTTTATTTATTTATTTGCCAGAGAGAGACACAGTGAGAGAGGGAATACAAGCAGGCAAGCAGTGGGAGAGGGAGAAGCAGGCTTCTCGCTGAGCAAGGAGCCCGATGCGGGCCTCAGTCCCAGGGCCCTAGGATCATGACCTGAGCCGAAGGCAGACGCTTGACGACAGCCACCCAGGCGACCCCAAATACATCTTTATATTCATTAATTTCATGAATTAGAACTTTTAAAGCACTTAGGTATTTTACTCATAGATCTTTGATTATAAACTTAATGAACCGTGAGTCTTCTGAAAACTATATCTAGTTATTGCTGCTGAATTTTAAAAAACACATTTGGTTCTAATATTATTTAAAAAAATTTTAATATCTTCATATAATTTTCTTCTAGTTCAGGACCATGAAGTTCATCAGCAAATTTTGGCAACTGATGTTGGTTCTAAAAAAACACCTGACTCGAGAAAAATGTCAAGTAAAAAACTAAAAGATCATCACAGTGAAGCTGATGAGAAATTATACTTATCTGTTGGCTCACCTTTTGTTCTTTTGGATGCAAAAGCTTCTGTATCGCAAAATGCGATTCCATCTATTGCCCAAAAGAGAGAGACCTACACTTCTGAAAATTCAGTGAATACATTGTCTTCAAGTACAGAGATTTCTCTTAAAACCAGAAAAAGGTGAATTTTTATTTATTGAAATAATATGAATCCTACTTAAAAATTTTTAAGTTATTTATTTTTAATGTATTTTATGGTAAATATTGAGGAATATTAACATGAGAAGAGCATAACATAGTTCAGTTTATATTCAGTTTATATTTAATAAGGAAGGCTTAAAGTATACTTCAGAGAAGTTTGTGGGTAAACATTTCTATAGTGTATGAAAAAAAGTATTTTCTTATAATATGTTTTCTCTAACTTCCTAAGAGTATTTTCTCTATGTTATTTGTAATTACAATGGTAGATATATATCGGGTCATTTCTAGGATAGCAAAGGGTATTTTGAAGATGAGTTGTGGTAAATCCATGTCTATTTCTTGGGGCTCATTTTGGCCTTTAAGAAGCAAAGTAGATCAGAGTCCTTTGCTACTGGGGACTTTTGCAGTGAGTGTAATTAATGTCTGTCTAGTGTCTTGTATAGTTCTTGGAGCCAAGGAGTTAAGTACATTCTAAGATTTTGCTATTCAAAATGTGGTATGTGGCTCAGGATCAACAGCAATGCATTATCTGGCAGCTTGTTAGAAATATAGAATCTCAAACCCTATTCTAGACCTACTAAATCAGAATCTACATTTTAATAAGATTCTTCAGATTCAAAATCTTACTAAATGTTTGAGAACTAGTCCTCTAAGCTACAGATTTCCTTGGTCTTTTCTCTTACTTTTTTATTGACAAATAAGAAATGTAATTTTCCTGAGCAATTGCCTTGTGTATTTTAAGAGATTACAAATCACAATTTGTGGACTTTAAATAAAGGACTAGTGAGAAATTTTGTAAGTGGTCTCTATGGTTACTGAAAGGGAGTTCTGGAAAATTCCTAACTCAGCAGACTGTGAGAGTATTCAGCTTGCCTTCCTTTTAAACTTTTAGGTTAAACTTTGAAGATAAAAATGCTTTGAAGAAAGTAGAAATAGCAAATAAAGTATCAGAAATAGAGGATAAAGTATCAGAAGAACCACAAGAGAGGAAATCGTCAAGAACATCTCAGAAAAGAGTACCAGACTCAGAAGATGAAATTCAGCCACAAACTAAAAAGAGTTTTTCAACATTATTTTTAGAAACTGTAAAAAGAAAAAGTGAATCCAGGTGAGTTATTAAGAAACTGTCTTTTGAGGCATTTTTCTTTTATATTCTGTGAACAATATCAAGGATTCTTAATGCTATTTAACTAAAAGTTAACCTTAATTGGTGCAAATTTTAATTGAAATTATGCCTAACCCTAAGGAGAGTATAGTTTCTTACCAGCAAATCACCCCCAAAGCCATCATTAAATACTAAATTAAATGTGAAAGAAAGTTTGTTCAGCATTCATTGCTTTCATTGCTTATTCAGTGCTTTTGCTCATTAGCACTTTCTAGTTTGTATGATATCAGAAAATGAGGGTAGTATTTAGAAATAGAATTATGTTGTGGTCTATTTCACTATTAAGAGCTTTAAATCTTCTTTCCTTTTCTTCTGCTTGTGTTAAAAGTATAGTCCTACTTAAAAACCTTCAGAGGTTCTACTGTGTCCACAAGGTGATTCTTAACTGTGGCTGCACATTGCAGTTAACTAGAAATAATGGCAGCAAGGGATGGGAACCACTGGCCTATAAAAACTTTAGATTTGTCTGCTGGTATTTACAGCCTTCACTCTCCCTAGTTAGCTGTTTCTGCCAACTTGGTCATACACATTTGCATTTGTCCCTGTTTTGGCATGCCATTTTCCCCTTTCATGTGCTAGTCTCCTTTTTCTTCTCTGGTGACATCTGCTTCCTGGTTCTTAGATGGCTGTCTTCTTGCTATATATAACCTTATGTGGCAGAGGTGGCAAGGGGGCTTTCTGAGGCTTCTTTTATTAGGGTATTAATTCTATTCATGAGTGTTCTACTCTCATAAGTTAATCACCTCGTAAAGGCCCCACCCCAAATACCATCCCGTTGGGGATTAGGTTTCAGTTTTTGAATTTGGGAAGTATATAGACATTCAGTCTGAAGCAAGTGTCAACGTTATTTCCTAAGGATATCTTCAGTTTGAATAATCTTGATGTTATGGAAGTCCGTTGAAGTAGAATAGAGGAGCAGATTTAGAGAATTCTTTTATTTATTTATTATTTATTTATTCATTTATTTATTTGACAGAGAGCGAGAGAGAGTGCACACGCAAGGACAAGCAGGGGGAGTGGCAGGCAGAGGGAGAGGGAGAAGTGGGCTTTCAGATGCGGGGCTCAGTCCCAGGCCCTGGGATCATGAGCTGAACTGAAGGCAGATGCTTAACTGACTGAGCAACCCAGGCACCCCTAGAGAATTCTTACTGGCTGATTTAGGAAGGCTTAATTTTTAAATTCTTAGCACTACTTCTTTATATATAAAAACTAACAGATATTATGAGTTATATACAGTAAAGCAAATTAAACCTATTTATAACAGATTGGCTATTTCTTTAAATGTTGAAAAGTAACATTTCTGTTTAAACATTCATTCATTGTGTTTTCTGTTTATATTGACTTTGTTTTCATTAGATTTTCTAGTTTTCTAATTATAAACTTAAAAAACTTTACCTAATAGAAGATAGTATATTTCTTAGCATACACACACACACACACACACACACACACACACACACGTGTACTGTTTTACATTATAACAGTTTGAGATTAGGGAAGTAGAGAAGGCATTTTCATTTCATAATCTTTTTGTATATCTTATTAGTGAAAAGATAGAAAAAGCAGATACAATAATGGTTAAGCATCCTTACTCAAGTGGAAAAGGCAGAAACAGGAGTGCATATGCTAGATTCAGAGTTTGGATGTTTACCCTAAGTTTTTACTTATGCATATCTCACTTCAGTATGTGGTTTGTTTGAAGCTGTTCTTATAAAAAGGAAGGAAATGCAAAAGAGTCCATCAGATTACTATCCTTTAAATAATTCCTTCCTTCTCCTAGAAAGCTTTCCCAACTAATTGGAAGAGATGCTGTTTAATCGCAATTTGCCTGCCTTTCCAGATACTTTCTATTTATTTCTATACCATGAATGCAGTATTAAAACTTATTTGAAAATGTATGTGAATTATTCAAACTTGGAATGAATTTTTACATAATATAATTTAGTGCATAATTTAGTAGTATTTTCTTAGAATATTAGACTTGAAGATGTCTTGGAAATAATCTTATTTTGGATGTGAAGGAATCTGGCCCCTAAGAGACATCTATACGAACATAATTAGCATAACATTACATATAACAATGGCATGCATCTTTGGACTGTCCGTCAATGTGTCTGGGCTATGTTTAACACATCTCTGGGTTTCAACTGTACAGTATGTATAGTGGGTTGGGGCGGCATTAAAATTTTTGATGTCTGGGCTTCCTTCCAGCTCTAAATTTCTGTGATCTCATTAGTGTTATAAATGAATATAATCAGGCATTATAGAAATGTAAAAGAAGAGGAGGATTTTCAAGGGTAAGGGAAAATTGAGGAGATGTACACTGTTCTTTAAAAGATACATAGATTTTATTTCCTATATAGATTATTTTCTTCACAAAGCAAAGGTAAAAACTATTTTTTGAGCTATTATTTATTATAACATCCTGTTTTAGTCCTATTGTTAGGCATATAGCAACTGCTCCACTTCACTCATCTCCTTCAAATGACCTAAAGTTGTTAGAGGATGAATTTATTATTGATGAATCAGAAAGAAGTTTTGCCAGTCGATCTTGGATTACTCTACCCAGAAAGGCTGGGCCTCTGAAACAGTGCACAGTATACCCTGCAGAGAGCTCTGCACTCCTTCAAAGTAAGAAGTCGAGAGAAAAACATCACAATGTATCACCTACAACTTTGACGAGTGACAAACATTCTGACACAGATTACCCAATAGAGAAATCTCAGCCCTCTGAACAAAAAAGACTGGGTAGGAGTTGTGCTTTGACAAATGAACTGGAAAATCATAGATCTACAAAATATGAAATGTATTATGAGAATGCAGAGAAATCATCTGGAAAGAAAAGAACTACAAAACAAAAACAGAGAAGAAAATTTAAGGACAGTATGCTTGAAGAACAGGTTGATGTGGAACAATCTAAAGATAAAAATATAAATATCACCCAAGGTAAGTTACAGAGAAATTCAAACAAATATGGAAGAGTGTGAAGAGATGATAAATGTTGATATTTCCAAAAAACAGATGCTGCCTGTGGGTAAGTGTTTTATATTAAGTATAACTGAACATTATTCCACCGCTTTATGTTTTTGTAATATTTCTATTTAGCTTTCGGAAGTAGGCAAAGTAAACCTAAATCTATAGGCTCTTTTCTAGCACCTCTATTTTACATGTAATTCAATTCTTTTTTTTTTTTTAAGATTTTATTTATTTATTTGACAGAGAGAGAGAGAGAGAGAGGCAGAGGGAGAAGCAGGCTCCCAAGGAGCAGGGAGCCCGATGTGGGACTCGATCCCGGGACTCCAGGATCATGACCTGAGCTGAAGGCAGTCGCTTAACCAACTGAGCCACCCAGGTGCCCGACATGTAATTCAATTCTGAGTCACTTGAGTTTTGTGTAGCTTCTAAGAAGATGGCAGTATATATAAAGGGAAGAATGAAGGGAAAAGGCTTGTAAACCGGATGGTTACCAGAATATGAATAAGATAACATCATATATTCTTTGAGGTTTAGTAAAATACAAACTGGGGAAAAAAAACCCAAGATAGTATGGGGCTATTTCTTTTTTTTTTTTTTTAATATTTATTGTTATGTTAATCATACATCATTAGTTTTTGATGTAGTGTGCCATGGTTCATTGTTTTTGTATAACACCCAGTGCTACATGCAGAACGTGCCCTCTTTAATACCCATCACCAGGCTAACCCATCCCCCCACCCCTCTCCCCTCTAGTATGGGGCTATTTCTTACAGAATAAAACTTCATACTCTTCTGTTCCATCATTTACTCATTTATCTAACATTCAGTAAATTGCCAGACACTGTATTAGGCACTGAAATTACAAAGATTACTAAGACACAATTAATCACCATTAAAAAAAAAATCAATCTAGTAGTGTCTGTAGACTAGCAGATATATACACATATATTCAGAGGATGATAATAGAATTACAGAGAACAGTTGTCTAAGTAATATCTCAATGGATCTTTTTATCTTGGATCATTATATTATTTATCATCCAAACTGGGACACTTGAGAATGAGAGGGGATGTCAGGACAGGAAGCATAAACTGGGATTGTCTCAGACAAAGTTGGAGTATGGTTATGTCATCATTGTATAGCGATTGAGGTTTGTAATGATGACACTGTCATGAAGAAAAGATTCATTTATGTTCTTTGTACCACTTTTTAAGTAATAGAAAAGGTAGTTATTCTTACAGAATTGCTTTAGAATAGTTAGTGGAATAGAAAACACATAACAATGTATTAGACACTTTATATGTGCAAAATATAATTTAATCCCTCTTGACAATCCTGTAAGTTAGGTGATAACACTCAAAGTTAAAAAATACTACCTCATAATAAAAAAAATTAAAAAAAAAATACTGCCTCAGGATCTGTTGCCTGGTTAGAGCCTATATTTTTTCAGCACTATCAAGAAGTTTTGAAATAAGTGAAAATGTTTTCGATACTGATTTGAAAAAACTATTGGTTAACCATAAAACTCTCTTCACTAGAATAGTATTTGTACCTAGAGGTCCTAGATGACTATAATATAATAGAATATTGCTGATACAGAAGGGAGAGAGAGTATATATTAAAGCATAGTATTTAAGCTAGTTTTTATGAAAAGAAATTCCACTTCAATTATTCAATTATTTTAGCTTTCTTTTTGTATAATCTACAACATAGACTTTATATCACCTGAAATAATAGTTGTCAGTTTTGTCTGTGTGTACCTTTGTAAATTTGAAAAATTCTGCTTAAAATAAAGGGGAAAAAAGCCACCTTTTCTATTTTGTGGACCTCTCTTGTAAATGTCTGACATGTCCCATGTTATTATTTTAAAAAAGATTTTTATTTATTTGAGAGAGAGAGCACGAATGGGGTGGAGAGGGATAAGCAGACACCCCACTGAGCAGGGAGCCAGGTGAAGCTGGGCTGTATCCCAGGACCCTGGGATCATGACCTGAGCCAAAGTCAGACACTTAACCGACTGAACCACCCAGGTGCTCCCCCCATATTATTTTTATTGGATTCTTTCCTTCGTTCCTTTCTCCCTCCCTCCCTCCCTCCCTCCTCCCTCCCCTTCTCTTCCCTTCCCTTTCTCCCTTCCCTTCTCCTTTCCCTTCCCCTTTTCCTTCCCCTTCCACTTCCCCTTCCTCATTAGCAGCTGGCTATTTTAAGAAAATATAAAGAATCTGACTAAACAAGTTATAGGAAAATTTTTTTCTTATTAATCCTTTAAGTAGAATATTAATTCATAAAATTTGAAGGTACAAAATTTTGATTTATCCTAAGTTCTTAGGAAAAAACATTTTATCAAGAAAGTATAGGGGTAAAAAAAAAAAGTGTAGGGGTGCCTGGGTGGCTCAGTCGTTAAGTGTCTGCCTTTGGCTCAGGTCATGGTCCCAGGGTCCTGGGATCGAACCCTGCATCAGGCTCCCTGCTCATCCGGAAGCCTGCTTCTCCCTCTCCCCCTGCTTGTGTTCCGTCTCTCCCTGTGTCTCTCTCTGTCAAATAAATAAATAAAATCGTAAAAAAAAAAAAAAGTATACTTGAAGGGTATTGTTTAATTATAAATGTTAAACATTTATTAAGTACCTGCCAAATTCTTCACACTGATTTTCAGATATATTAAATTCTTTATCTAGATTGGTTAGTGAAAATAATGTTTGATTAATTACCAATTGTATTTATTTTCTATCACTGTCATAACAAATTACCACATACTTAGTGACTTAAAACAGCACACATTTGTTATCTTACAGTTTTTATGGGTCACAAGTCTGAAATAGATCTCAGCTAAAATCAATGTGTTGACAAGGTTGCTTTTCTTTCTAGTGATTCTAGGAGAGAATCTGTTTCCTTGTCTTTTCCAGCCTTGAAGTTGTTTATATCCTTGAATCCATGGTTCCCTTCTTTGATCTTCAAAGCCAGCAATGCCAGCCTTCTCACATTCCCAAATTCTTTTGCTTCTTCTTCCATTGTCCTGTCTTTCTGACCACTACTTTTAAGAACACATATAATTAGATTGGACCAGCCTAGATAATTCAGGATAATCTCCCTATTTTAAGGTTTATACCTTTAGTCACATCTGCAAAGTCTCTTGCCATATAAGGTAACATTTTCACAGATTTTGTGGATTAGGGTGAATACATTTTTGGCCAAAATGAATATATTTTGGAAGGATATTATTCTGCTAATCATAACAGTTTTCAAAGACTAATATGAAAATGATTTAATTCCAAGGATATTTTTAGGCTGAAGATATTTTTTCTTTAATTCGAAAGGCACTTGACAAATTTGTATTGCCTAAGCTAATGATTTATGTTGAGGCAGTGGACTTTTCCACTTCTCATGTCTTTTAGGCTTCTCAAACTGGATGTATTAGAAACTAAATTCTTCCAAGCTTGCTCCTGCTTTAGTTTTCCTATCTTCATAAATGGGACCATAATAAATTTAGTAGCTCAGGAAAGAAATCTGAATCATCTTTGACTCCTCTTTAGCAACCTGTATAAAGTTTGACTTTCATATTTGTTACTTCTCTCCATTCCTCTTGCTGTTCTTCTTGCCAAATTAGAGTCATTTATTTCTTAGATTATTGTAGCAGTTTATGCACATACCCTCTGTCTTCTCTCTACTCTCCAGATTCATCTCCTGGGTTACTTTATAATGAATTTCTCCCAGTTCCATGAACAGAGTACTGTCTCAATTGTGGGCCTTTTAAAATGCTGTACCTTTTGCTGAGAAATTTTTTCCTAAATGTACTCTGTCCCCTACCAAGCTTTGTACTCAGTTTAAATATCACTTTACTTGATTATTACTCCCTATCCCAGTATGTTCCTATATATGCTCCAGTAACATCCTTTTTATTTTATCAAACATAAAATTACTTGTTAAATTTCCATTTTTCCTTCTGGCAGTTAGACTGAAAGTTCCATGAGAACAGCAACTATATCTGTCCTATTCCTAAAATACCCCTCAGATCTTAGCCTTAACAGTTATCTGTATGGGTCATTGGAATACATTATTATTATTATTTTTTTTTTTAAAGATTTTATTTATTTGAGAGAGAATGTGAGCAAGAGGGAGAGGGAGAGAGACTCTGAAGCCGACTCCATGCGGAGCGCAGAGCCCAATGCGGGGCCCGATCTCACGACCCCGTGATCATGACCTGAGCCGAAACCAAGAGTCGGACACGCAGCCGACTGTGCCACCCAGGCGCCCCAGAATACATTATTATTATTATTTTTTAAGATTTTATTTACTTATTTGACAGAGAGAGACACAGTGAGAGAGGGAACACAAGCAGGGAGAGTGGGA